TTTGTAAAATAAATTTGAATTTAATAAAAATGTATTTGGATTTATAATATATGTCCATTAAGCGTTCTTTAAAAAAAATATATTTTTACTTTTTTAGAAAATATACCTATTCTTCTCTAAATTTTTGTTTTATCATAAAATATTACTACCTTATTTTAATTGACTAACTTTAAATAATGATAATGACTACTATAACTCGAACCAAAAAAAATTGAATATATCAAAGATCAAATTATAACATAATAACTTATATTTTCTTATTTCTTACGTAGATAGAGTATAATATAATTTAATGTATTTTATTTTAGCTAATATGATGTTAGAAGAGTTTAAAACATCACCAAAAAATTATTACGTCTAAAGTCTTCTGTAAATAGTATAATTTGGATTTTTATTTATAGACACGAAACACGAAAATTGATCATGTAATTCAATAACCTATAAATAATATTGAATACAAAAAAAATTGAGGAACTAAAAATATTGGTCAGTAACTTAATGATTTTTATAGATACTTTATGCAAAATATGTGATTAAAGTCGATGAAAATAAATTTATATCTGTAAATTAAATAGAAAATAAAAATGCCCACTACATAGTATCACACAATTTTTTATGAAGTTCAATTACTAAGCATACTGATGCTTACTAAAACAAATATATAATTCAATAATTTAACAATATTTTATACCTATCTATGAGAATAAATTTAATTCTCTGTTCGCTTTTGCGAAACTAATTATATTTACATACTGTATAGATTGATCCAATAATATAGGATTGGATTCTTCAAAAGTTTAAATCGCTAATTAAAAGTAGATAAATATTTAAACCTGTATAAATACAATACAAAAATAATTTATTTTGTTCTAGAAATCTTTTCTATATGTACATTGCACAGTTAGTCAATTTGATTATATTTATACATTTTTATTTTATTTTTGATATTTACACGTTGATGAAAAATCTATCCATTTATAGAATCTAATGTGATTAAAAATGCAAATCAAATAATTGAATTGGAAAATAAATAATCATAAATCCATTTAATATAGTATTGAAAGTGATAAATTGCAGATATCATGGTTTAGTTTATTTAAAAATAAAAAGGAAATAATAAACAATATTTGTCATGCTTTTCTCGGGTTTAAAGCGTTTTTTTGTACAAAAATCATAATTTCATGAGCTTAAAAATTATTATTTATGTTACTATAAATATAAAATAAATCAAAATAAATAAATAATAATAGCTTTTGTTAAAATATTGCAATAATTATTATTACCATTCGATATGATTTGTACAAACAACCTGGAGATTTTATTATTGTCATGTACATTTTTCAATTTTTTTTTCTTAAAAATAGTGAACAAAATAAATGTTTAAAAATGTGATTCATTATTTTTGAATTAATTGATTCATAAATATGAACGCATAGTACTTTGGAACAACTTTTGGTAGAAGTACTGAATCCCATTCACATTTTTTTACGTGTCAATGTCACTAATTAATTTAATTCCACTATCCTACAGCGTTATACAAAAATAATACTTAAATGCTTGACGTTGGAAAAATTGCTTGTCTTATGCGATTCGGTTACAAAATTTCTCTACCTGTAGAAATCCTTTCAAATGGTTATGTTTCGTATATTATATAAATCACTATTCGTCATCAAGCTTCTTGAGACTTGACAAATAACATTAAGTAAATAAAATATAATTACATACATATAATAATAAAATACATAATTTTATATAAAAAATATATTATTTAAGTGTCTGGACTCCTTATTTTTAGTTTAAAATTCCTATACAAAATATTTTTCCGAGTATTTTATTGCATGTAAATTGAATTTGATACAAATAATTAATTGTTTATAAACTTATGTATACCTATATTTGTGCCTCACCAATGAGCTATTTATTTTAATCTCTTGTTTATGGATTAACGTTATGTACCATAAATTGCAAAAATTACTCGGTGAATTTTCTCGTTACATTTTAATTTTTTTGGGAATAACTTAATTAAGAAAGGGATCAAATACTAAAATGTATAGCCATTTTAAAAACCATACCTAATGCCTTCGGACATTACGTCAAAATTAATTTTTAAATGGATGATTTGCATACTATTACAGTTTATTGATGTGTTGAATACAATAAAACATGTGTAGGTAACTATATCTAACGGTACGGGGCTCATCGCAAATAATCCAAATTTCCAATAAACGTGTAGTACCTATCTACTCGACTGACCGTTTACAATAGAGTAAATGTGAAACGGAACATCCGTCCAATAGTTAATACCAATATAATAATCGTTGTCCTTTGGGACACTCTTAAATACGATATTGGATAGATATATAATAAACAGCTAATAATATACATGTATAATTATATAGTAGGTAATATATATTATATATTATACATTTTATATGCATTTTATGTTATTAATACTTATGATGACGTAATTTATGTTTATTTTAAATTTCATTTTAAACAATAACTACAGTTGTCTGCATTACGTAATCCGATTATATTTTTCTTACTATTTAGGTCGAAACAACGATAAAAGTATGCAAATTACGATTTGTATACATATTTGTATAAATGTATAGAGAATAATAATTAGACAACGGATAGTATAAATGTGTTATAAAATAAATAATAAGAAAAATACGGGTTTAATTTGAACTAATGGTGTTTACTAGTTAATATTTCAATCACCTATAGTGAAAAAAGTTGTTTTTCTTATTTAAATTTAAAAACATTTTATGCTTTAGAGTTGAGAGTTTTTACTTTTAAATCTGTACGTTTTCCTTTGTGGTTGATACTATTTTTTTTTCTTAACATGACAACTTTTGATAAAATACTGTTTCTCTTTACTTCTGATGATAATTTTCGATTTCCTGTAAAGTTATGTGTTTAGTATTTTAATAATCACGTCCAATACACGAGAGTAACATTACTGGAAACTTTTGTTTTAGAAGTTCAGTATACTTTAGAAATATTTATTATCATATACTAACTTAAAATACGACAATGCATGTTAAGAATTGTAAGGTCAAATTCATGACACAAATTATTGTACATAACTAGGAAATGTAGACTTTTGAAATATAAAAAAATAGAAACAGCAGAGATTAAATTTTTCTTTTTGATAGTGTAGCTTAAATTTTTTAATTATGGAACTTAAAAATTTCTTAAACTATTTATTAAACAATCTATAAACCTATTATTATTAATATATCCTATGTTTTTAACATATATATTAAACCATGTAAATTTTTATTGAAATCGGACTGCATTAATTACGTAGTAATTCCTTAAGTAATAATTTGCTCATTTATTTTTCATTTGTATAGTATAACTAATATTATTCTTTTAATTTTAATAAATATTATTAACATAAAATTTTTTTCATTGAGATAGAAATTAAATTTTATAAAAATGTTTAATATTTAATGCATAAGAAATCCATGTTGACTTATATAAAAAATTGATGAGAATGTATCATTTATTGTAGAATGAATGGTAACAAAAACATAAAATTTAAAATTGTATTTATAAAATAATTTCTAAATATATATATACGTGTGTGTGTGTGTGTGTGTGTGTGTGTGTGTGTATAAATCTTAAAACAATTTACTCAAAAGTCATAGTTGGAGTTTCTTATAAATAACACTCAATAAATTAAAATGAATATCTCGCAATAAAATTATTGACTTGAATACTTCTCGCCTTTCAAATTATATAGTAATGATAATATTGCAATTATATACTAATTTAATATAATATTAAATGACAATAATGTATAGAGAAGGTAGTGTTAATATATTATACTTTGATGATATGATGTTTTGAAATTACTAACAAATATTATTAATTAAATATGTGTCCTGCTACAATACGAGTATATAATTTTATAATTTTATTATTGGCAATAAATAATTAATAACCTTTAAACTTAAATGATTTTTCGATAAACAGATTAAAATCAACTACCTTCATTTAGACAATTTATTTACTTGAAAAACTGATTTAATGATTGAAGTAATTTTAAGTTTCCAAAATATTTTACTGTTAAATTTTAATATTGGTTTAAGTTTTTTATGATAATAACTTCAAAATCAACAACTATTATAATCTATTAATAAAACAACCTTTTATAAAATAATATTATTGTGTAGACTTTTAAATTTAAATTTTATCTTTGAAAATTCTTAAATTAATAATTACATAAAATATCTCAGCATTACGCGTTCAACAGTTTACTTCTGAATGCAAAGGGAAAGTAAATCGATTAAGTTTTTAAGACATAATAATTCATCAGGTAAATAAATTTTAAAATATTTTAACATTGTAAACACTATATATAAATAAGATTACTTAACGATTTTATGCTCGTATACTTACTGTTAAAATAGCACTAAACCGTTTATGGTTTATGCCTTACTGTCTCTCATGTTCTCAATATTCCTAGTATTTAAGACTAAAATGACTATAATATTATTTACATCAAAAAATGTTTAGTGATGGTCGTTAGAATAAAATTGTCGACAATATTTATCAAAATATTCATTAAATTATTATTTTTGTATAATTTTTTCAGCCATTGTTATGTAATGACTTAAATATATTTAATAAAACCTTCGAGTACAATTTCAGAAGAAAAAAAAGATCTCAATTCTAGCTTTTTTGGAAATTTTTAATAACAAAGAAAAAGTATGAATAACCAAACGATTCGATGTAGTCAGCTGATATTAAAATTTATTTTATAAAATGATTATGAAAAAGCCGTTTACACGAATATCGTGTATTTTCATACCAAATAAATTTCAAATAATTATTATTCTATACAATATTATATTAAGGTTAATAGTGCAAATAATATTCATGTTATGGTATACTCATATTTCATACGAAGTATTGCCGGTTCGTAAACTTGACTATTCGAGAAATGATGCACACCTAATATGTATTAATATATGTGTTTTTTTCAGAAACAGTGAAATACCATCACGTTTGAACGAAATACAATCCACAGTTAGCGACTCTGATGACGAGGAGATTGACGGGTACAAAGAGTCAAAGACACAAAAATATTTAATATCAATGATCATTTCATATGCTGTGTGTTTGTGTCCACTAATGATTTTAAGGTAATTTAAAGTTGTGAAACATCGAATATGGGCTTTTTTAAGGGTTAATGGAGACGTTAATATACACCTGAAAAATCAACTGAAATAAAATAGATTTTTGATTGAACTATGCGATAGAATAATAACTTATAAAAAATAATTGATTGAATTTTTTAAATCTTGTAGGTTCAAACGTATAATTTGAATTCCTATGTATAAATAGTATATTATTATTTCTCAGTAAATTTAATTTAATTTTATCGACACATATTTTCCATTCAAATTCTGAAGTCACTTGAAATAAATAATTCATAGAAGTATCCCTACGAGAATTGTTTGGAAACAATAGTATTAAGAGTTTTAAACTTTAATATGTGTATAACTTTCCATGAGTTCAATAACTAAATAATAAAAGGGTTTCATTAATATCTACTACAATAATACCATCGGCGAAAGATGCGTGAATCTCCAAAGGCATTATCCACATTCACGTCGAAATTATAGGCAAAAATATTACGGATAATCGCCTTGCTTATATCACTTGAAAATATATGATTCCTAGGTTACTATTTTTATTTCATAAGCACAACTTTCTATACATATATATGATGTCTAAAGTTCATATATTTACGAAGTAAAAAAAAACCACAAAAGTTGTAGATAAGATGTTAAAATATTTTAACTGGAATAATTAAAGATTAACGTTTCAACACATGGTTGAAATAAACTTGACAGTATAGCGGGATTTGGTGCTTTTTATACTCCCGCTAACTTCACGGACCTGGTTTCTTATAAGTTGCTCTTACAGAATTCTAAAAATTTAAACAACTCATATGAGTAATTTTTTTTTAAGAAATTTAAAATTAAATTTTTTTTTTATATAATTAAGAGTTTTATATTTCTTTTTATTGCATTAATTATAATTCTTAGAAAAATGTATCTTTTATATAAATTGTAAGTGTAATGATTTTTTATTAGCAATAATACATATCAATGTACTGTATATACTAATTTTGTTTTAAGAAAATTAATATGAAATCACTAATAAAGTCACACAAATATTTATTTTGAACAGTAGTATTTTTTTTTATAAAAATATATTTGTGTAATCTGTTTAACATTTTAAAATAATTACAACATTTTTCTGCGGTTTTTGTGTATGTGTGTGTACTGTAAAATATTTTTATAATAGATATGCGTCAATTATTTAATATCAAAACTTTAAAAAGTTTTGATATTTAACTACAGAGAAAACAACAAATATACCAACTCAGTGCTATAAGAATATTATTACAAATAAAAAGAAAATATTACTTTAAAATTGAAGACTTTAATTTGTGATTGCAATAAATGCTAGTTGATTTATATAATAGAATTTCATTCGTTACTAAAAAAATAATTTACACTCGAGAGCATCGAACTAATTTATTTTCTTTTTTTATTTACTTATAATTGCCAATCTTTTTGTTATACATAATATTATTTGTTATTGTACAAATCTAATAAAATAAATTAATACAAATTTGAATGAAATATAAGTAGTTTTATAAAGTATTAAAATCGCTTGCAAATAGTTCTTTAATAATTTATCGTAACTAAAGAAAAAAAGAGTAAACGTTGTCAATGCTTTATAGAAGCTTTTGAGTTTGCTGTTACTAAGTAGTTTACTATTACATTAGGTATGTATTAAATTTAAAAATGGTATAATTAATTCATACTTCATAACAAAAAATTTTTCTATTAATATTTTGTTAGCCAATTTTATAGTGTATATAAAATAATGAATAATAGCAGAATGTTTCAAGTTTTTATGATTAATATTTGTTTAAATCAAATGAAAATAACAATTACTGTTTGATAAATAATCAATTTTTTCCGTTTCAACTTTGTCTATTTGAACGATTATTAAATAAAAATATGGTTAAGAATTTTTAATATTTATTAGCTGTTATAAGAAAAACTTATAAGGGAATTTTGTTACCAAGAAACAAAAATGATATTAATATAAAATATAAGTCGAAAAAAAAAATGCTAAGTAGATAATTTCAAACGTCTATAAATAGTTCTATAATAACATAAATATTTTGAAAATATAATCATGTAGGTATAGAAAATGTAAAAAATCTTTTATGAAAAAACTAAATCCTCGAGGTTATTCGTTTATGAGTTATAACAAAAAATACAATATACGTTTTTGCCAAACACTGACGTTACATAAATATTAATAACTCCTCTACTCAAAGTACCAAATAGATATAATGTTATTTTACTAAAAGCTGCTCTAAAAGTGAAGTATTTTTTTGGTAAAAAACGTGATGACAAAAAATAATCTCAAAAAACTCAAATTATTGTACAAACAATATATTCGTCACTCCGTTCTGAATCTAAAACGATGCACATATAATAAATATACAATAGATTACAATAACACATTATTTATTATTCGAGATTTTTCCTAATCCATGAATTGTACTAATAAAGTTATAGGTATATTTGAAGATATTGAACAACGACGACGTATTATTGGTCGTCGGAAGTATCATAAAAATAAAGCAACGTTGATATATATTATTAAACACACGTATGATATTAACATTTCGTAGATATTCAAACGGTCGTAATCTATTATTTTATATTCAAAAGGAAGTATCGATAATAATGTTTTGAGAACAAAAAATTTACCATAAAAAAAAAGTTTACGAAGGGTTTAGTAACCGATATGGTGTTATATATTCGACCATAAAACAATGGTCAACGGCCAAACGTTGCATACATAGATTCATATAAACGCAAGTCTGTCGCAGAAAGTTATCGGTGTACTCACAAATTGCCTCTATGGTCTAGATAGGTTGGTCTTTTTCTATTATAACTTAATATATCGTTACATTTAATTGTATTACAAGAATATCAATTATTTTTGACGATTGGAGCAATATGTAGGAGCTAGAATTTAATCTTTTAAAGTTTTACCGTCTAAATTAATAATTTTATTGTACTTGTATAATAACAGTTTTTAAAAGTATTTTCGAACGATGTTTCAAGTATCAAAAATCATAAGAAATAATATTGTAGTTGTGTAATATTTCGTACAGCACATTATGCCAATAATTATGAAACTTAAAAATCATTTCAGATTGGCAAAACTCGAAGTGTCTGAAACGTACGAGAACAGTAGACACTTCGATTTGACGTTCATGATATGCGTCTGGTTGGCATTTGTGCCAACAGTCACCACTCCACTACTGTTTGTCGCATGGAATTCGGACAGGTAAGTACGCGGGTGAGCATTCAAAACCACTAATTTTTTGAAAGCGAAATTCACTCCTATTTTGTTTTGTTTTTGTCTATATCATCTAAGGTCCGGTGGATAAAAGTTACATATATATTCGATTGATAATTTAAAATAAAAGTCTGAAATAACCCTAAACAAATTGTCTATATTTTAGTTGGTTTCTTAAATTACATAACTGTGAAAAAAATATATATGATAACAATTAAATTAATAAATAGAAATAAACTTTCATACTAAACAATCTCAATGTAGGTAATCAGACAAATCAATATAATATTATTATCAATAAATCTAAAAAATTAACCTAAATGTATCTCATCACTGTGGTTTACCAATGAAACCTGTTGCTACAAATCCTCAGTAATTATTTTATTCTCACGGTATACATATATTGTTCATTTAGTGAAAGACTACTTATGATAGTCAATAAACACATATGAAAACTTTCATATTTTATATACTATTGAAATAGATGTTTTAAAATAAATTAATAATATTAATAGATGTAGAGTTTCTATCACACTCAGTTTTATATGAACAGTACCACAATTGTGTTTCAATTATTTCGTATAACTGGATAAAATTAGATCAAAGTTTTGGCTAACGTTTTTAAAACTATCAACATTTCTTATTACCAATTTTTTAATATAAATAATTTTTCCCTAAAACAATAACAACCTACAATTGTTCTCGAATGTTTACATAAAAGAGTCAGAAACGAGCGGATCTCTTTGCTCACGCTCCTAGTTAATACATGTATATTATAAACGTTTGTCTTGTAGTTCACGTAAATCCAATCTGCTCTCACCTAGTCATCGTCCGTTTTAATTAAGCGTCGTGTATTGTTTTCGCAGTAGTACCAAGGATCGGATCAGAAGTTATTTCAAAAGGACAAAGGTCACCGCGGAACAAGCAACCAGGACCGTGTCGACGGAGGGTCTCGCAGCTCGCAATTCAATTTATACAGTGCAAGAGAGCATTCCGGCTTAAACGCTTCGAACGAACTGTTTACATTAGTTTATTAATTATATAATATAACAAAACAAAAAATAAAATTAGTATTAATAAAAATAAAAACAAAACAAAAAAAAAAAACAATAATAAAATAAAATAAAAACATAACAAAATTCACACATTATTCAGTACGAATAGCTAACGCCGTTGCCCGAGAATTGAAATTTCGACACGTCAGCGGCCGAAGAGTAGTACACTCCCAGCGGGTTTGGCAATTGCTGATTGGCCGACGCTCCGTTTTGCTGCTGGTACAAGTTCAAGTTCGGCTTCTGTTGCTGCGGACCCTCGGCGGGCGCCTCGTTCACCGGTATGGTCGCAGGCCTGAACAGTGGTTTCTCCGCGGTCTGGTAATACTGCTGCTGCAATTGCTGTTGTAGCGGTTGCTGCTGCTGTAGCTGCTGCAATTGCTGCAGTTGCTGCACTTGCTGTTGGTATTCACTGCTGTATTGCTGCGGTGACGCCGCCGGTTGATAGTAATCCCAGGCCGACAGGGGCTGTTGCTTGTACGGCGACTGGAGCTGCTGCAACTGCTGGAGCTGGAGCTGTTGTTGCTCCAACCTAGCCTGCTGTTGCTTCTCCAAGGTCTGTTTCTGCTGAGACGGATAGTAGTACGGCTGCGTCGGGTAGTTGTACTGTTGTTCCGGGTACTGTTGGTAAGCGTCGCCGGCGGTCATCGACTGTTGCGCCGCTTCGTTCGCGAACTGCTGCTGGGCGACTGCGATCTGCCTGTCCGGGGTCACCGGTCTCCGGTAAACCGCACCGAGCTTTTGGCACATGCACATTCCGGTCAATTGCAATATAACCTGCGTATAGAGTCGGAACAAAAAAAAATTAATTTAATATTTTTTAATGCACGACGCTCGTAAACATTTAACTTCCATTGATTTAATTTAGGCGTCCCTCGTCCCTGACCCCTTAGAAACAAAAAAAACTTTCGAAACTCATCCCGTTTTCGTAGCCAAGCGAAATGTATTCAGTTAGTTCGAGCAAAAAGTTTTTCCGCTGACTTTACAAGTCCAAGCGTAAACGCCGTTGCAGTGCTGCGGGCAACGAGATGAGCGACGCTACGTCGTAATCGTCATATTTTCTATTGCAACTCACTACTGCTATTTCGTTTATTAGTTATTATTACTATTTACTACTAAATGAGAGACCGTCGGATTGTTTTAAAGACAACGTGAAATTTAGTTCGCCACAATCGATTTTTTTGCAATCATAATATCACATGCGATGTGAAAATAACTGTTTTAGTAGTTTTAATTTTATTTGAACTATAGATATGAATAATTAATTTTATATACAGGTAGTGGGCTTATAGATATTTTCCGTTTAAAATTTAAATTATTTCCGTGAATAATGTAAATGTTAATTTTGTACATTCCATTTTATTATTTGATTAGATTAAATTAATACATTTATAATACATAACCGTAATTTTTTAGGGATATTGTTAAAATGTACTCAAAACAAAATAAAAAATTGTTTATATAGTTAATAGATTTAAGACTACATTGATTTATACACAATATATAATAAACATAATTCTTATTTAAATGGTTGTATAATTGTTTAAAATATATATTTTCGATTGTACAACTGCATAAAGGTATAGTCCTTAAATTGTAAATCACTTTTAATGATCTATTCTCAACATAAAGACAGTGAATTTATTCTACACAAAACATTATGTCAACTTAAATAAGATTATACGATTATACAGTTTATTTTCGTAAAAAACGAATTTAGCTGTAAAAACTTGAATAAATGTTAATAATATTTTATGTGTATATTTATTTATTTTTATTTTTTTTTTCGATTTGCTGTGTTTGTACTTGAATAATACAGCGAGTAATTTTCGTGAACAAAAAAAAAATCCGGAAGTGACAATAGAATTGTACAATTGTACCGTGCATGATTTACTAGAATTGTTAAATTAAAAACGTCGCGAATAAAAGTTGTTTACTACGCAATATAGGGAACTCGTTATTAAGAGTGCTTTGATTTTATAACTAAATTGAAACAATTTTTCATTCGCTAAACGTAATTGTTATATTTATATTATACACAACAGTCGGTTGTTTTCGGCGTAAATTATCCCAAAAGAAAATAAATGAATATTATCGGTCAAACACGAATACAAGTACAGAGTGATATAATGTATAATCCTTGGTTATTTTTTTACACTTAAATGTCATGTTATCGATATTTGGGGAAGCGAACGGAAAAAAAAACACCTATACATATCTGTGTATTATTGAATAACGGCTTTACTCACCAAAGCAATGTTGAATTTGGCCGAATCCATGCTGTTATAAGTATATATACTGAACGATGTCGGGAATTCGATACGATTGGTGCGCGCGGATGCGTACTAGCAGATAATATTATTAATCCGTCTAAATAATATTATAATATTATAACAATATTGTAACTGTTTCGCGGTGTAAATAGTACTAAGTACTAATAGTATAACGCATTACAACAATGAAAATAATAATGTGAAGTCACCCAAACGAGACGTCGTGTTCGATATAATATGTACGTAAGTATAATATGTCATACGTATGTGGTTATTTCTTATATAGCGACGTGTTTGGACGTTAAATCGAAAGTGTGCCGTAAACGTCGGAGGACCAAAAATTTATAACGGACTGAAACACACACACACACACACACACACACACACATACAAACACACATACACTCACAGCTGTTGGCCGCACAATATTGTCGCACCGGACTCAATAAATCCGATCACGTTTTATCCAATTACCGTTTATACGCGCGGCGAGTTTGTAATAAAAATAACGCGTGCATATATATCACGTCATGTACTTCCTATTCACCTCAAATAGCGAGTAAAATTATATTAATATATTATTACGATGACGACATTACAATTATTATTATTATTACCGTTGAAGTTATATGATTTCACTCGGAAATCAATTAACACATTCCGGTCTCGTGCCCTGCTCCCACTCCGCTGTTCTCCTTTACATCATCCTAAGTCATCCCCTCACACCTCCGTACACCCACCCATCAAAAATATGAATTTTATAGTATATTATACGTTTGGCTCGTACGAAATCAATTATTTTCGCCACTTTCTGGTTTGTGCTTTTTTTTTTTGTCTTTCTTTTTTTTCTCTGCCACCCGTGGTCATAGATTCGCGAGATTTCACTTTTGGAACGTATGCGAAAACTAATCGCCCACGACGACCGAAATCGGATTGGATACGATCCCAAAGTTTGATAGAGATATATTATATACATATAATATATATATATATATAATATATTGTGTCACACGTTTTTACGAGCACTGATAAATGGTAATAATTAATTGGAATACATTATGTTAGATTATACCGGATGCGTTTGTAACAAAAGCCTTTTTCTTTTCTTTTTATGAAATGGTAGAAAGAAGACGAAATAATTACCCATTTAATTAAATTATTCATTTGTTTATCACGTAATTAAATACAATTAATTCAATTTTGTTGAAAAAAGATAATTTGTGGGTCCTGAGCCAACAAAAAATCGTGCCGTTGTCCATTAAAATATATTATCACCGACGATTTCAAGTTATTTTGGCATTAATTATTATTATTCGATGATTGTAAGTTGTAGTATTGTGTACTTGTGCACTTGTGTTTGATAGTTAGATACTCAAATTGATCTATTTAAATTTTTAAAATCTATATTCTGTATCATATTAATAATAATTATAAGAACATATTATTATATCAATAGACATAAACTTATTTCATGTCATACTATACATATTTAAATTCAGTGAAAATTAAAAAAAAAGAAGATTTAATTTTCAGAAAATTAAAAAGAAAACGTATTTAAACATAAATAATAATAAATATTTATATACCTATAATGAAATGTGTGCAATATTATTACATAATAGTCGGAGCAGTAATATCTTCAAACGGATTACAATACTTTGGTCAAACTGACATGCATACAGATAACACTGCGATTATATCAGAATTACGATTGCTGTTGGGCAGTAATGCGTATTGTGTAAAGTATTAATAATGGTATTCAAAGATTATCATTATTATTTTTTTTTTGTTCTGCAACGATTCATTTCCGTCTTTTAATACAAACGAATTGTGTTGGTGTAAAATACATCAATAAGTAAAATAATCATCTTAATTTCAGATTCCAGTTGAAAGGATATTTTTAAAAGTTTAATTGAGCAAAAATCCACTAAATATATAATAATAACTAAACAATCAAATATTAGATTAGCAATGATTTATAAAATTAAAGAGGGTTTAGTTAATGGTATTTGTATTTACGCAATAATTAATGCTCTTCGTTGGTCTTTTGTTTTAAATTCAATCGGTCATATTGTATAATGTACTTAACTACAATAAGGCGTTGTGACGACAAACAACTGAATAGATGTTTCAAATGAATTAATTTGTGCAAATTAAAAATCCGAAATTCTTCAGTTTATCATCATCTTTTTGAATAAGAATTTTGGTCAAAATAAATACGTCTAAGTATTAGTTGAAAAAAAGCTTAGATAAAAATAAATGAAAAAGTATCGATTCGTACGTAACTATAAATCAACCATAATAGCGAACGTGACTACGGTTAACAGATCCCTATATAACCGCAAACACGGTTCTATTAGACTTCTTTAGTTTTTGCACCACTTTAATAATAAATGTTAAACATAAATTCCTTGACTTTAAGCCTAAAACAAATCACTCATCGAGGTAGGTTATATATATGGATATAAAATATAATTTATGGATACGTATACATTACTTCAGGTTGATGATCATCTAATATCACGTTTATCTATATATCTGCAGTTTTGCAAGTTATACTCATTAAAATTATTTAAGTACAGAATAAATACAGATAATTACTTTGAAAAGTATTTGAAATACGTATACTTAAAAATTTATTTCTCGATGTAGTATCCACTAAGTACTCACATTTTTTTTTTCATGAAAAGTTAAACAACATAAAACTAATTTAAAATCAATTTATAGAAGTTTTTTTGGAATTTTCTTGTAATATATTATAATTTTTTAAGAATGTATACTGCATCGTTTTATGTAATTTTAAACTTTCCATCTGTATTCTCTAGTAGAAAGTACAATTACATAACTATAAGTGATACATAAAAAAATTAAAAAAACAATATATGTATTTCGATCGTGAGAAAGAGCCTTAGAAATGTTATCTCCGTGTTAGTATTTCCAGTTTTATTATAAAATCGATGAGCGATTATACCATTAATACCTATATAATTATATTTAAGTACTTACCTATACTATTATTATAGTGGTATTTAGAATTTAACGTAAGGTTTTTCCACAGAAAATGACTATCCATAAATTCTTGTAGATAATATAATTAAATAAAAATAAAGCTTCTAAAATATTCGTATTATTTTACAATTTTACATACATTTTATTTTATTACTTATACATGCGAATCCTTTTATTTTATTTTATTTTATTTTTTTTTTTTTTATGATTGAATTTACAAAAAAAAAGTATTTCACTTTAAAATTTAAATCCAGACAGCCACTTTGAAAAAATATGTATTTAAAAAACCTAAGTTATAGTACTTGTTTTAAAGTTTTTAAAATATGTATTTTCAGACTATTTTTAGTAAATATTTGAATATTTTTACTCATATATATTATTATAAAACTAAGATACCTATACCAAGTTTACCTAGTATAGTCAATAAAATAAAACAAATACCACGCCAACACAATTTTGAAAATGTCTTCGTCTTATAAAAAAAAAACCAATCATTCTTCGGCTTCAATCACAATAATAGCGAAACGTTTGTCCAGTGATCGACATCCATCGCACCGCGTCTTCCTTTATTTCAATTTTCTTAGAATCAACAACCGAAAATGGTCTATTTATCTAATCACTCATTTCGCTTTCGATGGTGAATATTCAAGTATATATTAAATTAACTTCAGCCACCAAATAGTAATTCGCAAAATTGCAATGTGATTGCAACATGTATATTGTACATTGTATACACACCTATTATATAATTAGGTGGGTAGATAGATGTGAGGTATGCAACCACTATTAATTCACATGAGAGCACGATATTATGGAATACCATTTGAAACTGTTATAGATTTATATTATGAATACCTTAAGCCAAAAATAATTAAATTAATGCCATCAATAATATGTGTTGTGCCGAATATAATAAATTTGTATGTATATTATATAATTGTAAATTAATGTTCCTCAATATAAATATTATCAAGAAAACATAGAAAACAAAATATTACATTGTATTTTATTTATTTTGTGTACACACTCATTATGAATATTGATGTAATACATTGATAATAATTAACTGTATAATGAATGACTTGATTTTTATTATTTCCTTATATCCTATAAATTTCTATAATTATACAGTATTGACATCTGTTATTGTCCTGATTTGTAAATTTATTTTATAGAATTTTTTTTTAGGGCAGTAAAAATAAAAAAGTTAAAAAATATATGATACCATACTTTATAAATTGAACATGAAACAAAAATTTTACTTTAATATATATATTATATATATTATTTTATTTTTATAAATATTTAAAAAAAAAATTCGTTAAAATTAACAAAAAACAACGAAAGTTTGAAAACAACTGTTTTTTAACAATACTAAAAACGTATTTAAATCAATAACCAATAATATACCATTTATTTTCGGAGAAATTTTAAAACATTTAAACGAGTTCCTATAATATCAAGTCAAATATCTCAATAAAAATAAATTTTAGTCACTCATCCATAATATTCCGTTACAGGAAATAACTATACCATTAATGTATCTTTTTTAAATGCATATTTTGTTTATAAATTTTATTATTTTACAAAAAATAGTAGTCAATATTTATCATTTAAAATAGATTACACAAGAACAAAATTAAATTAAAACTTTTTGAAATACTAAATCATGAAAAAAAAATATATATTTTTAAAAGAAAAATAAATATTTTTAAATTTGAGTATCATTTAAATCAAAATGTTTTTAAATAGTAACAAGTTTAAGAAAGTTTAATCAATATTTTAAGTATTGATATTTATTTTACATAAAAGCTTACAACTTTTACACTATACCAAAGGTTTTTAAATAAATATTTATTGTTATACAAATCAATCATATATTTTCTTATTATACATTTAAATAAAACTTAATACAGCTTCGTTCCTTAAAAAATATGAATAAAATATATTATTTTTTTTGAACATTTTAAATATATTAATTACTTACAAAATTTAAAACAATTTAATTGTAGGTATATATCATAAAACAATTATTAGATTATTAAATGATTTAAAATAGCCAAATAATATAAAATCTTATATTTATTAATTTAAAAATTAAGTCTTTTTTTTTTTTTAAACCATAGTTAAACTGTGTTATTTAAAAATTAAAATTATTCAATTATTTATGTCGTTAATACATATTAACATGTCCTGAAACATCTTACCTTCGTACACTTTAAGATGGGGTCACCAATTAATACTTTTGAAAAGCCACATTAGGAATCTGAAATTTTTTTGAGAGCCAAAAAAATGCTTAGTACATATTTTTAACA